ACAAGATAACAGCAATGTCTCCACCAACTAATAAGAAAGAAACGCAAGCTTTCTTGGGTGCAGTGGGGTTCTGGAGAATGCACATCCCAAATTACAGTTTGATTGTAAGCCCTCTCTATCATGTGACCCAGAAGAAGAATGATTTTAAATGGGGCCCTGAGCAGCAACAAGCCTTTGACCAAATTAAAGGCGAGATAGTTCATGCAGTAGCCCTTGGACCAGTCCGGACCGGACCAGATGTAAAAAATGTGTTGTACACTGCAGCTGGGGAGAACGGTCCTACCTGGAGCCTCTGGCAGAAAGCTCCAGGGGAGACTCGAGGTCGACCCCTCGGCTTTTGGAGTCGGGGATATAAAGGATCTGAGGCCAGCTATACCCCAACTGAGAAAGAGATACTGGCAGCCTATGAAGGGGTTCGAGCTGCTTCGGAAGTGATTGGCACTGAAGCACAGCTCCTTCTGGCACCCCGGCTGCCCGTGCTGGGCTGGATGTTCAAAGGCAGGGTCTCCTCTACACATCATGCAACCAATGCTACATGGAGTAAATGGGCTGCACTAATTACACAACGAACTCGAATAGGAAATCCCAGTCGTCCAGGCATTCTAGAAGTCATCATGGACTGGCCAGAGGGCAAAGATTTCGGAATGTCACCAGAGGAGGAGGTGATGCACGCTGAAGAGGCCCCACCATATAATAAACTGTCAGCAAGTGAAAAGCAGTATGCCTTGTTTACTGATGGCTCTTGCCGTATTGTGGGAAAGCATCGGAGATGGAAGGCAGCTGTATGGAGTCCTGGACGACAAGTTGCAGAAACTGCTGACAGAGAGGGTGAATCGAGTCAGTTTGCCGAGGTGAAAGCCATCCAGCTGGCCCTGGACATTGCTGAACGAGAAAAGTGGCCAGTACTTTATCTCTGTACTGACTCATGGATGGTGGCAAATGCCCTGTGGGGGTGGTTGAAGCAATGGAAGCAGAGCAACTGGCAACGCAGAGGTAAACCCATCTGGGCTGCTGCACTGTGGAAAGATATTGCTGCCAGGGTGCAGAACCTGGTGGTGAAGGTACGTCATGTAGATGCCCATGTACCCAAGAGTCGGGCCACTGAGGAACACCAGAACAACCAACAAGTGGATAAAGCGGCTAAGATCGAAGTGGCTCAGATGGACTTAGATTGGCAACATAAAGGTGAATTATTTTTGGCCCGGTGGGCCCATGACGCTTCAGGCCATCAGGGCAGAGATGCAACATATAGATGGGCCCGTGACCGAGGGGTGGACTTAACAATGGACGCTATTGCCCAGGTTATTCATGAGTGTGAAACATGTGCTGCAATTAAACAAGCCAAGCGGTTAACGCCTCTTTGGTATGGAGGACGATGGTTGAAGTATAAATATGGGGAGGCCTGGCAGATTGACTATATCACACTGCCACCAACCCGCCAAGGCAAGCGCCATGGGCTTACCATGGTGGAAGCAACCACCGGGTGGCTGGAAACATACGCTGTGCCCCATGCCACTGCCCGGAACACCATCCTGGGCCTTGAGAAACAGATTTTGTGGCTACACGGCACCCCAGAGAGAATTGAGTCAGACAATGGGACTCATTTCCGGAATAACCTTATAGATATTTGGGCCAAAGAGCATGGCATTGAGTGGGTATATCACATCCCCTACCATGCACCAGCCTCTGGGAAAATCGAACGGTACAATGGGCTGTTAAAAACTACACTGAGAGCAATGGGTGGGGGAACTTTCAAGCATTGGGATACACACTTACCAAAGGCCACCTGGTTGGTCAACACCAGAGGATCTGCCAACAGGGCCGGCCCAGCCCACTCAGAACTTTTACATATTGTAGAGGGGGACAAAGTTCCTGTGGTGCATATGAAGAATTTGCTGGGGAAGACAATCTGGGTCATTCCTGCTTCAGGTAAAGGCAAACCCACTCGTGGGATTGCTTTTGCTCAGGGACCTGGATATACTTGGTGGGTAATGCGGGAAGATGGGGAAGTCTGATGTATACCTCAAGGGGATTTGATTTTAGGGGAAAACAGCCAGTGAACTCAATTGTATGCTGTTGCCTGCTGTGTAATGCTTTTATAGCCCATCAACTAGATGTCTTCAGGTCACCAGCGACTGGCCCTGACTTCCCTCCAGTCATCATCCCATCAGAGAATGAGCTTTGAACATCATGGACCGAATGGACTCGGCAGCATTATAGGGATTGGTCCATGCACTAAGAAAATGATTTTTCCTCTTGGTCTGTATGTATATGGATGTATATATGTGGGAGAGCGATGGTGTATTGAAAATGTGGGATCTGAGCACGACGTGAATGGTATGGAATAAGGGGTGGATAATGTCCTGGGTTCAGCAGTAGCAGTCATGTTTTTCCTTTGTGTTAACTGGTGCAGTGCTGTGTTTTGACTTCCAGCTTGAGAACAGTGTTGGTGAAGCCGATGTTTTCGGTTGTTGCTAAGTGATGTTTACCCTGACCAAGGACTCTGTGAGGCTCATGCTCTGCCAGGGAGGAGGGGAAGCTGTGAGGAAGCAGAGACGGGGCGCCTGACCCGGGCTAGCCGGGGAGGTATTCCATACCACAGCACGTCATGCCCGGGGTGAGGGGTAACTGGGAGTTACCCGGAAGGACAGGGACTTCCGGGTGGAACTCGCCTTCTTGGCCGGTGGTATCGTATTCTCTTCCCTTGTTATTTTCCCTTATCATTGTTGTAGTTGATAGTAGCGGTGGTGATTTGTCTTGTACATTGGTTGCTGGACTGTTCTTGTCTCAACCCGTAGGAGTTGCACTCTTTCGATCCTCCTCCCCGTTCCTCCAGGAGCAGGGAAGGGGAGAGCCCCGGTGCGGGGGGAGAGACGGACACGGACCTCGATTGTTGTCAGCTCGGCACCACTCACTGGGAGTGAGTGAACAAGTTACCTGACTGGGTTTAAACCACGACAGAGGATCAGTCTCAGGTGGCCTGAGCTGAAGGCACTTCAAGTCAACCATCCAGGATGTGCCAGCTTTTTCACACTGCAAAATAACTGTTCAGTAATGAAACAAAAGGATATTTTATATCAACAATCCTCTTTCTACCTGATTTGTACAAACAATCAAGGTAATTAAGTGCACTTTTAGGTGTCTAAATAGTGCCAGGTGTGCCTGCAAATAATTGTATGTTTAAAAATAAAACATTCACTTCAAAAAAATAAAGATCATGTAGTTACATTGCATAGCTTATATAAAGACTGTAATCATGATTTCTGTACAATAACAAGGAAGAATGAATGTAGATTTCTGCAAAGTACACAGCCATGTAGTTAGGAAAATTCATCATATAAGGTGTCTGAGCAAATCCAGGGGGAATTAATGATCAGCTCTATTCAAGAACATCTAAAAAACAATGCCATCTGCTGTTAAGCAGAATTCTAGCCAAAAGCTGGCAGCAAAATAGGTTTGACGACCTGGACGTAAAAACTACTTAAGCTCAGTGCCAATTATGATCTCCTTGCCAGTCCAAAAGCATATCTTTCCAGGAGTGGCTTTTACCCTCTGCTGGCATCTGAAATGCTATGCAGTCTTTACACTTATGCAAAGCACCAAACAGAAATAACAGAATAATCTGGACAACCATGCCAAAGACCAAAACACAGTTCATTATGTTTAGAACTAGTAATAACTGGCACTGAATAAGGCAAAAAAAATAAAAGAAATAGTGGTCATTCCTCTAGCTGGGAAATTCAGAATTGTCATGGTTTAAACCCTGTCAGCAAGTCAGCCATGCAGTCTACTCCCCCCCACCACCTCTTTCTTCCCCTCCCACCCCCCCACCCCCGCCCCTCCCTGGGCTCCCAGAGGGATGAGGAGGAGAATCGAAAGTATGTAACTCCCACAGGTGGAGATAAGAACAGTCCAGTAACTAAGGTATAACACAAATCACTACTGCTACCACCAAGAATAACAATAATGATAAGGGAAATAACATGGGAAGAGAATACAATACCACCCGCCGAAACAAGTCTGACTGAGCAGACAGTGCCTTTCTGGGTTACATCCCGGGCATGACGTGCTGCGGTATGGAATACCTCTTTGGCTAGTTTGGGTCAGGTGTCCTGTCTCTGCTTTCTCCTGGCTTCCCCTCCTCCCTGGCAGAGCATGAGACCCACAAAGTCCTTGGTCAGACTAAACATCAGTGTTATCAGCGCTGTTGCCAGGCTGAAAGTCAAAACCACATAGCTGCACCAGCTACTAAGAAGGAGAAAAAAAATGGCTGGACAAGAATATAGTTTGTTTAAATTATTCCAATATTTTTTTTAAATTCAGAATTCTGTATTTAAAAAGGTCTTAGTTGAATCTTGATTTCCTTACAGAAATGGAATTTTGTCTCAGCTATCTGTGCCTTAGCAAATGCATTTTCCTAGATTAGTGGCAAAGGAACAGATGAAACTAAGACTGGTTTCTTTCACAGTAATGTCTTCACTATTAAAAGCCTATAATGTACTCAGTGCAGTTTTCAGGTACTGTTTAATGGATTTCGGATGGTTATAATCATGTTAATTAGTTCCCACATCCCCCTTTTTTTTTTTAACAGCTTGATAGGCAAAGCTAAGGCAAACACATGGCCTTAATTTCTCTGAAATTAATTTCTCTGTCTTAAAGTTTCTGTGGCTGGCCAAAAATTATAGCCATGTGTAGTGGTTTAAACCCAGTCAGGTAACTCGTTCACTCACTCCCCTCCTTCTTTCCCTCCCCCTACTCCTGGAGGGACGGAGAGGAGAATCAAAAAGAATGCAACTCCCACGGGTTGAGATAAGAACAGTCCAGTAACTAGGGTATAACACAGATCACTACTGCTACCACCAATAATAATAATGATAAAGGAAATAACAAGGGAAGAGAATACAACACCTCAGCACCAGTCGACACATAACTCGCCCCCCCCCCAGCCCGACCAAGCACCAACCCATACCTCCTCCACCTCCTCCAACCCTGCAGTCCACCAGCCCTTCCGGGTAACTCCCAGTTACATCCTGGGCATGACGTGCTATGGTATGGAATACCTCTTTGGCTAGCTTGAGTCAGGTGTCCTGTCTCTGCTTCCTCCCAGCTTCCCCTCCTCCCTGGCAGAGCATGAGGCACACAAAGTCCTTGGCCAAACCAAACATCATTGTTATCAGCTCTGTTCCCGAGCCTAAAGTCTAAACACTGCACTGCACCAGCTACCAAGAAGGAGAAAAATGACTGCTACTGCTGAACCCAGGACACCATGGCATCTCTTCCTTCAAATGCAAGAATTATATTTCAGTAAGTGGCACTGAATAATGGCTATGTCATGTACAGTCAAATACAAAATTTTTATGCTCAAATGCAAAATACAGAATTTCACAATACAAAGGGAATTTAAAGACAAAGAATAGGATTTCAGGGAGATAACAATGATCACCTTCCAATTTAACAAATCTTTGTGTTAATCTAAGAAGCCACTTCTAATGTTTAAAATTCTTGGATATAACAACATAGAGGATTATTTTTACAGGTGTCATACAACAATTCTCAAGCAATAGTTTCCCACCTCTAAAACAATAAAACACTTATATAGGACTTATTTTCCTGATTGGTTTAAAACTGTGTATTATTGAATGTGTTATGATGTAAAATACACAGAATCAGTGTATGCAAAATTTGATCATGTAACCTGTATTAGCCACAGGCATTGCCAGGTGGATTCTTGATGCTCTGTTATTTTTCTTCCATCGTTACTAAAATTTAAAATAATTCTGTAGTGAGAAATCTAAAAATATGTTGCCCATTCAAAGGGTAGAAGATATTGCCTTTGAATTTTGAGGGTACAGAATATCTGTGTCTTAAGAATGAACACTTCCTTTAAATAGACATAAATAAATTCATCACCCATTATCAATAAATATGAAAAAATTATTTTCTTTTAACATTTGAATAGAAAGAAATAGTAACTGTATTCATACCATATTCCAAATGACTCTAAACAATGTCAATTGTTCCCCTGCTCTTTCACTTTCTCTGGTTCTAGACTTTGTAAGTATATCATCATTAGCTCTTTTGGAAAGGAAGTAGGAAAGAATAAGGGAAAGGCAGTGTGGCTTTTCTTAACTAAATTATGAAAGTTTAGAATAAACATCTCTATAATCATAGAATAGATAGGGTTGGGAAGCACCTTAAGATCATCTAGTTCCAGCCCTACTGCTATAATCTACATATATAATTGTAAACATCTGCTGATCTTCATTTGCTAATTCCTAACTAAAAATCGTTCAGGCAAAAAAATATGCAAAGCTTCAAAAAGAAGTCAGAAATAAAAAACAAAGGAGAATACAAAATCTGAACTGAGTTGTGACCTTTGATTAGACTTACAGACCTGAACTGAACTGCAAATATAATATCAGTTTATTAAAATTTTACTGTGGGTGCTTCAATATCACTGAATCAGAAAACTAAGAATATTTAGCCGCAAGAGGACACAAGACTGACATATTAAAAAGATTATGTGTACAATTATTTATATTCCACAGATGATTTATTTAGTTAGGTCTCAGTGAATACGATTTTTGAGTTACTTCTGTCAAACACAGCATTTAGAGAAGCTAATAACAATATCCAGTTAATGATTTTACTCAGAAGATAATGCTTCCTTGTTTCCTATGATATTAACTAGTACTAGGGGAAAAAAAATGATTAAAACTAAAATAAAAAAGGAATTGATAAATAATTCTTAATTCAGAATGAACACAAATTTTCCAAGCAAAAATCAAAATAAAACATCAGAATAGCATATAGAGTTGATAGAACTTACTGACATTTTGTGCCTATATATTTATATAACACATTGCTTCAATATTTCATGTTAGTTCATGATGAACATCATCCAGTTCCTACTAAATCACTGATTTATTATTTTAATGAGAATTTAAACTTAATGCCTGAAAGTAAAATGCAAATGTCATTGACATGTTTCCCCCCAAATCAGGACTTTTGGTGTTGCTTAACATTATCAGTTGTAAAGCAAAAACTTTAAAATTCAACCATGTTTTATAGTTTTCTGGGGAAAAAAAAACAAACCAAAAGAAAACAAAGCCAAACAAATAAACACCCCCCTACACCAAAAAAAACCCAAACAAATCAAAAAACCCAACCAAAAAAAAAAATAAATTAAAATTTTCTGTTAAAACTGCTTAGACATTACATGACTCAGCTTTACTTTATGGATTGGATTTTCCAATCATGCCTCCTTCTACGTGCTAAAATCATAGAACATTGGATGCAATATATCTCTGCCAAAAAAAGAACCATGAAACAAAACAGAGGTATTTAATCCATGTTAATTTAAAGAAAGGTTAAGATGTGAAATGTACTAACGAATAGTGTCTGACTTGGCCAAATTTCCTGTCCCTCAGACAGCATATTTCTGCATGTATTTTTTTTTCAGTTCTATTCAAAAATGTCTCAGTGATATTTCCTAGACACTTTAAGGATCTCAGCCTCTAAGATGTGAATATCATGCTGCTTCATTTATTGTATAAGTGAAAAAAATGAAATGGTACAGAATTACAGAAATTATTCAATATTTGGAAACCCCTCCATTCATCAGAAACTAAACAACTACAATTTATTATTTTCTTTGAAAGAAATTAATTTATTAAATTCTGTATCTGCTGTCATGGGAAGCTGAATTCTGATGGAGTAGGGGTTTTGCTGCTGAAGTACTTGAAAAAGTAGGGAGAAATCTAGGACACCAAAAAAAAAAAACAAAACATCACACAAAAAAAAACCAAACCAAACCAACAAACAAAACACCAAAACACCAATATCTTCAGTGGAAACAATTACTTATAGGAATACCTTTAAGGATGTGATAGAAGCTCTGTCAAACAAACAAACAAAAAAACCCACAACCCACAACAAACTGGAAATATATTCACTGTTTGAATCCAGTAACTGAAAACAGACAAAAGAGCAATTTGACCTTCCAAACCAAAGGCTCTCCTGGGTAACTGAAAGAGGCACATCATATATTCTTTGAGAAAACATGTGAGAAATAATTCAAAAAATTTCCTCTCTGATGCTTAGAATAATTTTAAAATATTCAATATTAATGCCACAGCTAAGCTGTGAGAAGCTAGCTAGTATTGAAAGAAATAACTAAAAAGTTAGAAATTACATACAACCTTCGTCAGAGTGGTTGCCCACCTCACAGTTCCAAGCTAATCTCCACTTGCTCTATTTCCTAAATGGCACTGTTCAAAATGCCTCATAAAAGATAATACAGATTGAGTTTCTCTCCAATATATAATAGATGTAATTATCTCTTTCTTGGATAAGATTTTTCTTTTTAATTATAGCTCAACAGTGTTTATTCCCTAATTTTGTTCCCCTACCTTTGTTTGGATGTAATCTTCAGCTGCATTTATTCAAATGAAGACTGATTATTTCATGAATCAATAAATAATTTTAAAGCTGTAGTCTTGCAATTCAGACTGGCTTGTTATGATGCTCAGAATAAAAGCATTTTTGATTGTTCTTTTGTTTTCATTACAAACCTATTTTTTTCTACTAATAACTAGTATGAATTTCTTAAACTATCATTGATTTCCTAGAAGTTATGAAATTCATGTTTATTTCAATACAAGCTATCTGGATTAAACACCTGGTGTAAAAAAAAAAACAGGAGTTGAAAGAGAATATATTGAGGGATTTTTATAAATAGTATTGGTTTCTACTATTGATGAAGGAAAGCACAAATCTGTACTTTATAAAATACCATGGTAAATGGTCAGTCATTAGTAAATTTTCTGAGCAATACAATCAAAGTTTAGTGAGGAGGAAAAAAGGTATGATATAAATGCCATGCTTGCAAGACATTATTAAGAAAAGGAACAATGACTCACTCCAGTTTATTGTAAGAAACTGACTTGCAGTTTATTAAATTCAAGAGATTGTAGATTTATGCTTTAAGTATGGAAGTTCTGAAATTCTATATCAATATAATTTTTTAGTCAAAAATAACTACACTAATAAAGTCTTCCCAGTTTCTTCATATGTAGGACAAAATTAAAATTTAAAACCTTCAGTATACATACATTTGTGTAAATAAAGTTGTTGCTTATGAGTTCTGCTTCTTTAAACCAGGTGCCAGTAGGGCAAAGATAAAACCTCTCTCTAAAGCTGACAAGGTGCAGTTAATCAAAGATGTCGAAAAGAGAGGCAGGTGTGATGGACTGATATACAGACAAAAACATACCTTAGAAAAAGGAAAAATCCAGGGTCTTCAAAATTTTATATAAAATCATATCTTACATTCATTGCGTTTGTTTCAGTTTAAAAATTTCACCAGTTTTACAGGTGGAAATGCTAGTTCTGTTGCAAAATCTCATGTAATGTGAACTGCTATAAGGAGAAACTTGCACCATACCATAGATATGCAATCAACATTTCTTCAGCCTAGAACTGCAGATAATCTACACTTCACTGAGACTCAACCTCTCAGATACGCACTTGGAATATTTGCTTGATATGCCATTCTCATGCATTAGGGTTTTGTGGGAGGACACACAAGTGCATTCAACAGAATGAAATTTAAAACTCTATTGGAAAAAGTAGATTAATTATTAGTGCCAGTTTTGACCTTGCCTGGGAACAAGCTGCAGATAAGTTCTGTTTAAAGGAGAAATCTTCATCCATTTTCTCCCCATTATTTAAAAAAAAATTTCTTGTCTGAAACAATGCTCTTTGCTTGTCAAAATCACAAAGATGTCACTGAAAAATTTATTTTGGAGAATACTACAGAAAATAACTGCCTTACAAGAATTAGATAACTGATAAAACTTATTTTAAAGGAAATTTTTATGCAATTAATCAAGAAAAGCTTGCTGTTAGAAGATATCAATGGACTAGAGAAACTGCTGTAAAATTCTGTATTTAATTTCAAGTAGTTAAACTTTATCTCAAACTTTTGTCTCAAAACGATTTCTTGACAAAACAAATAGCAAAACAATATCAAGAGCCTGAAAGAACCTCATTATATATCAGAGTAGTCCGTGTAATCTAAAGAAGCAGTTAGGTCTATGACTCTTATTTTTACATAAGGGTAAATTAAACAGAGAAATTAAAATAACAACCAATT